AGGTACCATGCAGAGGTCTTTCAGAAGAGACATTTGTTATTCAAAGTTGTTGCCCATAGGAAAGCAAAAACCAACCAACCAAACAACAAACAAACAAAAAGAAAACACAAAAAACCGCACCAAAAAAACAAACAAGAAAACACAAAAAACCGCACCAAAAAAACAAAAAAAAAACCCCTAAAAACAAAAACAAACACACACACACAAAAACAAAACCAAACAAACAGAGAAGAAAAAAAAAGAAGAGCTCATCTCTACTCCAGAGATGCAGTAGTTGTAATTGTTTTCATACTTTAACTATCAAAATGAAGCACAGGACAGACTGAGAGCCATATTTTTCATGCCATCCCAATGAAGCCAGCCCTGTCCTGCTCTCCTGCATACACTTTGCAGGTGCTCAGCACAGCGCACTGCCAAAAGGCGGTGAGGACAAGGTTTGTCACTAATCACTTCCCTTACAAACAGGGCCTGTCACAGTTAATTCTTCAGAAGACTTACTTAAGCATAAAATAGGAACAGTAACACTGGTTGTGTATGATCCTGGAGATGAACAGCATTAGCACACTTCAGCAATGGGCACACTGGACTGGCAGCTGGAGCCTTGGTCTGTACACTGCATTCTTTCATGTTACTATATGACCTGGGGTGAGCGACCTAAGCTGTCTTTGTGTCTTTCTGCTCAACTCTAAGGTGCAGATAATTACAATTATCCCTGAAACTTTATTTACCATTATGTCTACCAAACAGATGGTAAGCATGGTTACTAACTAGTCCATACCCTTCGACTCTTTTAAGAGTAGCTGAGCTTGTCATCCACTGAACTACTTGATTAGTCAATCTTTAGAACATTTTTATAGAACAAAATAAGCATGAAGGAATAAATCTTTATTTTTAAAATATTAAATAATTATGTTATAACTTCTCTGTGTTCTAAGAACTGCATCATGGAGGATCTTACATGATATTTAAATCTTTCCCAACAAGTTGTGTGTTTCTTACAGCTTTATCAGTAACTTCCACTCATTAAAATCCATTTAGCAAACATTTTTTCTATTGAAATTACCTCTCAGACTCATCTGAGAATCTTTACTATTTCCTATAATGACCACAACTGCAAATAGCAGCAGCAATCACTGCTATGTATTGAAAAAAAGCACAGGATGGAATGGTTTCTCTATCGCGTGTTGAGTTGAACAAAGGCAGATTATCTGGTCATTAGGGGTTTGGAATATTAATTAAACATCAAGGCTTTAAAATGAGAATCCCAGATGTTTGATCATTATGGTAATTTACTGTTAACATCACTCCCTGAAAGACCTGAGAAACATATCCTCTAATTCTCCAGTGGCAAAAGGTGAAGGACCCTAAGGCTATCCAGCACTGAGCTCCTTGACATTAATTATACAAGAAATGGCCTTTTTAGTGAAATGAAGCCATCTTATTCAGTGAGCCTTCTTATAAGGAAGATCTCAAACAGCTGCCTAGGTAGATAAAGTCTTTGCTTACTAACACAGGCCTTTCCAAAACAAATCATAGAATCATAGAATCTTAGGGGCTGGAAGGGACCTCGAGAGATCATCTAGTCCAACCCCTCTGCCAAAGCAGGGTTACCTAGAGTACATCACACAGGAACTCATCCAGGTGGGTTTTGAATGTCTCCAGTGAGGGAGACTCCACAACCTCCCTGGGCAGCCTGTTCCAGGGCTCTGTCACTCTCACAGTAAAAATTTTTTTTCGGATATTCACCTTGAACCTCCTATGCTCCAATTTACACCCATTACCCCTTGTCCTATCACTGGTCATCACTGAGAAAAGCCTAACTCCGTCACCCTGACACTCACCCCTTACATATTTGTAAACATTGATGAGGTCACCCCTCAGTCTCCTTTTCTCCAAGCTAAAGAGACCCAGCTCCCTCAGCCCTAAGCACACTATTCCTTGACAAGCTGCTTGCTCCAAATTAAATCTCAGCAGCAACTACCTTCCCAGAGAAAGCAGCATCAGGAGCTGGGCTGGCTGCATCTCCAGGAAAGCTCTCCTGTAGCAGCATTGTCAGTGTGTCTCGGTCTTCTGCTCTGGCCTGTCTAAACATGGGAATCAGAACCACTTTCCTGCACATTTGGCTGCAGTGCCTCTCAACCAGTGGTACCTGTGCAGCCTTATCCCGAAAAGGTGAGAAGCTGGAACAAGTTCAAGTCATGCTCAGGAAATCATATTGTCACTAATTTCCTTTCTATATTACTTGTGCACCTGTATCACTCCATTTTATAGAGATGACTTCTCCTGAGCCTGTGAACTACTCTGGAACAATGTCTACTGTTTGTGGAGCCCAGTGACAAGAATGCAGATGGTTCTTTTAACAGTACAAGTACTGTTTGTCATCATCAGCTCAGGAAGTGCATTTGGAGATCTAAGCTAACAGGCAGCTTGCTTACTCTCATGGCATACTGCCCTCATACACACAACCTCCTCCATGCACTCAGATCTTTGCAGTTTGTCACAAATTATCTAGCTAGGAATAACAGCAACAACCCAGCAGTGATTTAACCCTGGTATTTCTTCCCTTGATACATGCACTTACTTACATATGAATAAAACACAACTTCATACACATGCCCAGAGCAACCTAAAGACTTTCCATCAAGCAATAGAGCCAGAGAAGGTAACAAGAAATCCAGACAGAATGGAACAAATTATTTAAGGTTCAAGATCTCAGTTTATTCACTTATAAACTCAAATTTGAGTGCAATCTAGAAGGAATTTCAAGTAGAAAGGGGATGTATTTCCATAATTTCATTATTTAATAGATGTTTATTTTGGACAGTCTGATTAAGGGTTTTCAGCCTTACAAGGTGCGGTATCAGAGCAGATGTATAGCTGATCTGGACCTGTTGGGGAAGATTCTTTCTCCCATTATGTGACAATGAACCTATGTGCCACCTGAGACAAAAGAAAACCTCTTTTCCAGCAGCCCTTAGTGTCCTCATGTTGCTTGCAAAAACTGAATGAAAAAAATCTTAAATTTCACAAAGGGTACATAACCCTCCGCAGCTTTTATTAAAAAACACTATCTGTGTACTAAAGAAATATAAATCTGTACTCAAAGGTACTTCCACTATTCACAAGGTTCCTTGAGATTCTAACCAGACACCCTGAAGGTCTCCATGCCATGTTCAAGTCAACTGCAGATGTTGCTGCATGTAGCCTCTTTATGAGCGCACTTTTCTATAAATCTGTCCCTTGTTTTCACAAAAGTTTTGTGAAACAGCTTCATACACAATCACAGAGAGCAGATATTGTTCATTAAGCTCTAGCCTCAATACCAGCTATTTCCACTTACCCATCAGTTTTCCTAATATACATTCTACTGTAATTCTGTAACTCTGTTTAGGAAGTACTTCAACATACTTCATTAGTCAAGTTGATGGCAGAAAAGAAAGGGCATCTTAGAATATGAACAACTACAATCTCAGCAAAGTCCATATAGTCTTGAACATGAACAGCTCTGTTTTTCACAGTAGAAAGCATGCCCAGTTTCCTGGACCTTGCTCAATATTAATGGGCCGCCCATTAATATTGCCTGTATAGGGAAACAATTCTTAAATCCCTTGCTGTGAGAAGCTTTGTGTTTTCAATGACTGCCAACAGCCCAGTAAAACTGGGCTAAATCTGTCAGTAATGTACACAGCACTACAAAGCACTGGAAATGAAGGGGAAAATATCTTTTTGATAGCAGTGTACAGCTCCAAAACAATGCACCAAAAATCTGATATACCAAAATCAAACTGGTTAGTTGGATGCAACTGAAAATGGCAAACTTCCAGATAGTAAGTTCATTCTACTACATTAAAGGACCTTGCACATAGGGTTGCTTGATTTCTGCAGGCTGTAGCTAAGTGGTCTTGGCCACCTGGTGGTCTGCTATTACTACTGATCACCACAAATTAGCTGCCTTGTCCTTTTGACCAGTCAGGATTAGTTGGACAATACCAAAAGAGTAAATCAATCAGATAAAGCTGCTCATGGAGACAATATTAGTTAATTCTCCTCTAATCTCACTAAATGAGATTTTAGCACTGCTCAGCACTGTTTTTTCAGTCTTGTCTGACACCTCTTTGAGAAAAAAATATTCTGCTTTGGATAACGGGATGAAAGACAAGGCTGGCACTGGGTGCCAGGATACCATTCCCTATAGTCAGTACCAGGACATGCACAGCAAGACCAGCCACAGCAGTGAAAATCTATGCTGAAATATTCCAGGTGCTTACTCAGAAGATTGTGGACAAAATATTCCCAAATGTCATTCACTTAACCTGGATCAAAGTTATAAATTGTGTTCAACAATTATCACAATTCATTTCACTCAAATAACTGCAACCCCAGACAATTTTCAGGTGTGATTTATGAACCAAGGTGGGTTGATGCAGGTTGGCTTTATTAACTATCAATCAGGAAATAAAGTCTCTTTTTATCTTGTTTGGGTCTAACACATGCTGTGATTTCCCAAATCTTTATATCTACTGAGTCTTTTAAATAATTGCCTGCAGCATAGTCCCTAGAAGCCTGCAATACTGAATTTTGTTCCATACAGTAGGGAAAAAATAGCATTTCTAAGAGCAAAATATAACTTCTACATTTCTTAAGAAACATGGCAGCACACACTACTTTGAATTATTGATTTTGGCATTTAAAGCAGATGTCAGTATCAGTTATGATTAAAAATCCAAGAATACACATTTCTAAACCAGACCTCTATAGATAACCTGAGCAGCAGAGCCTTATTGTACAGGCTATACGATTTCTCCTCATCCCCTGACCACCTACATCTCTTTCTATCTCCTGGGAGAACAAAACAGGACCATCTAAACAAACATTAAAACATAAAATATGCTAACACAGGACAACTATATATTTTTATACGTTGAAGGAAATGAAAATATCAAAGTAGGGGAGATCTTAGGGAGCAACCTATAAAAGCATTCCACCTTAGCATATCATACCTTCTACTGCTAACTCTTTCCATCTTTCTTTGTTTTCTTGAATGATCTTCATCAAGTTGTCCTTAAAGCTTGTTAGGTCTACAGATGCTAGAGAATTTTCTGTCCCTCCATCACCTGTGCTTTTAAAAGTGGGTCTTCTTTGTGCTTCAGCATTGCTTACTAATCCCGAACTATTTTGGCTGCAGAACAGAAAAAACCCTAAATTACAAACATAGTCAGGCAATTTTAATAATACACAGTTAATTTTAATCAAATTCCTTAGGACCTACATACAAACACTAACTCAAAATAATTGTTTTCACCAAAGAGTACCTAAGATATAAGACAATTCTTCAACTCAGGAAGCTGTAACCTGGGACCTAATTTTACTGACCTTTTTTCCTTTTTACTGACAAAAAAAAAAAAAAAAAAGAAAGAAAGAAAAGAATTCTTGAAGGAGTGTTTATGCAGCCATTTTTCAGCTCCTTAGCTGTGTTTTTAACAGTGAATGGTATCTTTGGGGCTCACAGGAAAGGCATTTGATTGTTATTTGTTGACCCATTTAGAAAATGAAAGAGATATAACTTTATGTCAGGTAATTTTACCTTCAGCTGAAAATTCTCTTCAAGGTACATACCTTCAAGTGCAGTCACAGCAAGATTTAGGACAGTGGCTTTAAAATCTACTTAAGAGCTACTGCAGCTACCTTACACATAAGGTACTTACTATTCATCGGTGAATATGCAGATACATGTAAAGGTGGGAAAAGAAGAATGGACTCTTTTTTTCCCTTAGGCTTAAAAAAATCAGACCTATTTCTAGCCTTGTACAGGTAATCATGTTATACCAGATTTTGTTTACTCAATTATGCTGCTTAGTTTACTTCACTGGTACAAAAGACAAAATAATGTTAATATGCACACAAATGGATTTCCATTAATCAGAAAATACAGTTGCAGTGAAGATACCAGCAAGAACTGCACAAGAAAAGTAGACAGTAATTTCTGTGTGATCCAGTGGTGTTGAATGGGATAGAATGGAAAGAATAGGCTATAATTCTAACATTTTCCAGGCACCACAGTGATTATCACACCATACACTAGTGATGTCCACCCAGTAGTGTTTGTGCAACTCTGCTGGCTCAGATGTTTCTGTAACATGTTATAGGGTCTCCACTTTTTGTAAGTGTAGTTCTTGATTCCATACTAAGAAAAAAAAATCCCTCACCCTCCACATCTCATGAGGAAGTTTTGCTGGATCACAAGCCTTTGTTCATCTGCCATCAGCCCCAAATATCAGCTAAAAATGAAGCCTGGAGCTACTGATCATTTGTAGCTATTAATCACTCATTTGTGAAGGTAACCAAGTATTCTTATTAACGATGCCTTAGTTTAGCACTGTTCCCCAAAACACAAAGAACACTGTCACAAATACCTACTTCTAGTAACTACCTCTTAGTGCTAGTAAACTGAAAAACATGTAAAGTCTTTAACAGAAAAGAGCTAGGTTTATAATTTAGCTATTAAAATTTAATTAATGCACAGCAAATTAATATTTCCCTGCAGAGTTATCATATTAGTAGCCTCAGTGTAAGCTCAAATTACAGCTTTAAAATTTTTAAAAATATGGTGAAAGAGGCAATATTTGTAAAAGCAGTATCTGATTACTGAACGATGTTTTCAGTGTGGAATCCCTCAGATAACATTGTGTGTCATACCTAGTTTGTTTTACAGACAAGTCATGGAAAATCAAGAGCTGGATAGGCAATGCTCCCCCACCCCTGCATCTCACTTACACTGTACTTAAATCTCTCAAGTGGAATATAAGTGCAATCAGTTTTGTCTCAAGTGTATACATCAAATAATACTAAAATGGAAAGGTGAACAAGATAAGTGACCTAACATATAACAAAAAAACTGGAAAAAAAAAACCATTTCCATCTCCAATTGTCTTTCAGAAAGAAAAGAATTACTTTTAGTACTGTCAATTAAAATTACTTTTAAAAGGACTCAAGATAAAAAAAATAGGAACTTCAATAATCTACTGCAAAGATTATAATAAAAAGAAAGAACTGATACTAGATATGCTGTAGAAAATAAACTTTCTATTTTTATGTGTGCACTCTGCTTGTTATTGTGGTTTTGCCTTTTTATATGCATTAATGTCTACAGTCAATGTAATAGCATATTGCAAATACAACATGGGACCACATGATGGCAATACTGTACAGCTATTTCTGTTGCTTTTCCAACTGTTAAAACAATTGCTGTAATTCACCGTTGAGAATAGCATTATTATGTTAGTTCAGGTTAGTTCAACAACTAAGCAGTGTATTCATACCTGTGTGTCCCAAATGCAGGACTTTCAGATTTTAATGCTTCCTCTATAAGAGGCACAACAATTTTCTCCATTGAGTCAGTAAGAAGAGAAAATGTTGGTTCTACTATGAAATCAATGAAACCTAAAGAAGAAAAAGAGAAAAAATTAGATTTTATATTTCCACAGCTCTCAAATCTAAAAATAAATACTTTATATCAGGTTAATTTTCTGACTGTAGTCCAGATTCAATATACTTGATACCACTAGTATAATCTTGAAGATAAAAGCACACTAAAACCCAAAACACATGAAGCTGCATAGATATAAATAGATATTACTAATTCTAGCTTTTTATTCCTTTTTCTCATAAATTTTATGCACTGCAGAACTCACCTACAATTTGAAATTAATTATTTAATAGAAGGGAAAGTACTACTGAGCCAGGGGGCTAGAAGTCACAGTGTCTCTTTTACCATCAGGCGCTTCTTGCCAAGGAGTTAATATTTCAAACTGCTGTTTATTATTCTGTAGAGGTAAAGTGTTATTTCACACTGTGTAGGAGCGTTCTGTCAAATCAGTGAAGGGAACAAGTAGTATCCTTAGGAGACAGCATTCATCCCACAGTTCTGAGATGTCAGCTCTGAACAATATCTTTTACATTTTAAAGTGCTCATCAAGGTATGGAATGACACAGTGAGAGAATGAAGTGTTCTTCTCTGGTGAGCACTTAACAGGAAAAAAAAAAAAACACCCAACAAAAAAACCCATCCCACAACCCAACTAAAACATGAGCTAGCAATGGATTTCCAAATGTCTTCATACTCTAACCATGCAAAACAGCACAAAGGTGAGGAACAGGGCTTCAGCCTAGGATCCAGCTTCCCTCCTGCAGTAGGTATGAAGCTCAAGCACATCGTCTTTCAAGTCCCACCGAAATGGAATAAAGGATATTTTGAGTGACAAGATCAGACACAATGGTGTGCTTCCATTCAAGAATAAGACACTATCACCTATAGAATGTCTTCCTACTGTACTTCATACTGTGTTTACTCCCAAAACACATGCAGCTGTTGGTAGGACATGCTGCATTACACAGTATGCTTCTAGGCTATCTCCTTGTAACTAGCCCCAGTCATCTTTATCAAATTTTATTTCTTTATTATTACTGATGGAAACAGGGGTAGAGAGAGCCAAGACCCCCATTGCCACTCTTGACCAAAATGCAATTAGGATGATGGGAACAGAACACAGAGGTCCTTTTCAACCCAAGGAAGCTTGACACTGTGTAGTTTGACTCTGCCACACTGACAGTCTCAACTATAGTCCAGAGATCTGATGGATGAATTAGCTTCAAGTTGAGATGCATCTACGGAACAGTACCAGGCTTTCAGACTGTAGTAGAGACAGACCTGTGAGCTCTTGAAGGAGAGTCAATCTGTTTCAGGATGTGATCTACCAAACTCAGAAGTGTGTACAGCACATGTTGAGCTCATGTCCAGTACTTTGGTTAATCCCTCTCCTACCTCTCCTTGCATCATATATGCTGAAATTACTTCATGTTCTTTTGAGACCAGCACATTTCTGCTGTAAGAGCATATGAGTTTGGTGAACAGCTGGTGCGAAGAAATACTTTCTGCATTATATCATTTGGAACACTTAAAATTCACAACAGGCATAAGAAATGTCCACACAATTTTACATGCCACTATACATACAAGAAAAAGAAAAACACGATTTGCCTTTACCTATTTGGGATTGAGCTACCAAAGTAGACTTGCGGTCACAGAGTGGGGAAAATTGAAGACCTAAAGCAGCCTCCTTGTCTCCCTGCAAACAACATATTTAATATTATAAGCACGTATTTGATAGAGAGACAAAGGAATCTGAACATTCTTAGCATGTATTTAACAGATTACTTTGTCAACTTATATTCCTAAGTAAAAACAAGCCACAGCCAAAAAAAACAAAGGAAAAACAAACCTCATTATTTATCTCTAAATTTTCAGGAAAAGTAAAAGTCAAACTCCTAACTTACATATTACATTGTTTATAAAAAGAAACTTATTGCAAGCAAGAACCAGGCATCTGCCAATGAGATTTAACATCTTGAAGTCCTTCAGCATTCACAGTTTAGTCCTTCTGATCCCAGATGTATTGGGAGTGGAGATATTTAGACACATTTGTAATAGTATGCCAAACACTAAGTGTTTCCTTCTATTATATTGGTTTATCCAATATGCAAAATTTCTTCAAAGGATTTACACAGGTCAAAGGCACAATCCGACTTCAACTTATTGTCACTAGCAGGACCATCCTGCTGCTGCTGAAGCCATAAATAGGCACAAGATCAATTTCATTACAAAGATTATTCGTACAACCTAGGTCCGAAAATATTTCAACATCTAACACATTAAATGTGTTTTGCTGTTGTTGTAACAGTCTTTGCAGACAGGATGTTACCTATGCTTGCAGCACAGTAGACAGACTGACTTGCAAAAGCTCAAAAAGCAAGTCTAGTGCTGCAAAAAAACCTGAAGAGGTATCTTTCAAAAGAAGTTACAACTTGTGTTCCTGGAGAAAACTGGTCCCCAGATGCACTGGCATTGTGGATATAGGAAAACTTAATCTTTCAAGTAAAATGGCTCTAAATATTCCAATAGTTATAGAGAGGGCTGTTTCATGATCATTCAGTGAAGAGTGGAACGTGAACATATAATTTTACCAGAGATCTCATCAGAAACTTATGGATGAAAGGGGCAGTATCAACCTTCCTTAGTCTTTTTATTATGTATCATTGAAGTAGATTTGGGAAAAGTTTAGAACTATAATACCAAAAAAACCACTTCAGCCACAAGAGCAGATGTAGCTTGCATATTGTGTTTCATGTGGAAGTAGACAGTCTTCTATGGCCTTTAAACTCTACACCCAAGTGTTTGCAACTTGACTTCAGAGTGTAGAACATATGAACACATACTACTAGGAGCAATGCTAGGGTTATCTCCATCTAAGTGGAGCAGCCAGACTATTTTTTAAATCTTCCCTTAACAATTTCACAATAGCAAGGAATCAGTTGGAATTTTTTTACATTCTCAAGTGTCTTTTTAACCCAGTTATTAATTCCTTTGCAATTAAAATAAAACCTAATTAATACTTAAATATTATGTAAATCTAAGATTATTCAAACTGTAGTAAAGAACACAGCAATGATATTTAAACTGTTAGAATTTTGTTATATTTGAAATTAAGATAAAGATCAATACAGTAAAAAAAATATTTCCCAGGTGCTGAACTCACAGGACATATTGTCTTTCTGTGCTTTTGGTTCTATTAAAACTGAGAGCAGAATGCTATAGGAGCTGTGATACCACTTTTAGTGACTTGAGCTATGTATTTATTTATTTTTAAGGTTTTCAGATGGGTGGGTGTATTTCTATTTTAAACAAGTAGCTCAGATTTTCCTTGGCATTCTAACACAAGTTCTGTAGTTGTTGTTTTTTAAGTGTTGTTTGGTTTTTTCCCTGAAATTAAGACTGGCACATGTTTTAACCACTAGCTGCAGTCAATAAAGTTTTTTTTCTAGATGAATGTTCATTTTTTGCTGGTGCTCACTACCTTGAAAGCTGGCTGTTAAAGCATTGGTTTTGCATCAGCAGTTTCAGGCTCTGCTGCTTTTTTCCTGTAAAGCAGTAGAGGTAGGTGAATTACTATTTTTATAGAAAAGAAATGGAGGAATTAGCGGGTTTAATACATATTTGGACTACTTCATCTTGGCTGACACAGATTTGGAAATCCCAGAGATTTCCACCATGTAGACTCAGATCAACAGACCAGAGGATGCACAACCAAGCCAGTGCACCTAAGAAGCAGGAAACTTCCTGTGCCTGCCCTGTTCAGTGCATTTGTATATGTACAGTTACTTCATCACACTCCAAATGTTTTGGAAGTACTTCACTCATGCTATTTTTGGTAGCACATGTAAAAAAGAATTCAGTTTCTTGCACACTCCTCTACAACCTGAGAGACCTTCATGTTTTATACTGTGGAGTTGCATAAATACATACATGGTGGTTTAATTATTAAATGCCTTCTCAGTTCTTTGAGCAGCTTATTTGGGATCCAGTAACAACTTCCAATGAAAGGACAAAAGAATAACTAAAACATTAGCTGGATTATGAACTGGTTGAAAGGAAGGAGTCAGAGAGTTGTGGTCAATGGGACAGAATCTAGTTGGAGGTCTATGGCTAGTGGAGTCCCTCAGGGA